ATGTACCTTGGTTGCGGGCACATCCCCAGTAGGGGGTGTGCAGGAGGCAGCTGATCAATGTTTCTCTCTCATTGATGTTTCTAACTCTCTATCCCTCTCCTTTCCTCTCTGTAAAAAATCAATAAAATATATTTTTTTAAAAAGAAAAAGAAAAGAAGAGACATACAGACAGACACACAGGGATACTCCAGAGTCAGACAGACACTTCCATACACATGCACACATGCACCTAGAATAGATACACACCCAGACAATTACAGAGACATAAAGACACAGAATACAGAGAAACACACAGAGACCCAGCAGGCAGACAGACACACAGACACTCAGCAAGCCCTCTTCCTGAAACCTTTTTCCGACAATCCCTATTTCTTGTCTTGTCTATCTCATCATCTCTGCCCCTAATAGATATTTATGAAGCACCCACTGTGCAGTGGGCCCTGTTCTAGGCGTTAGCATCACAGGGCAATCAAAGCAGAGTCCCTGCCCTTGGGAGACAGACACTGTCCAGGGAGGCTGCCAGTGCAAGGATCAATACTGAGCAAGAGGGTCCTGGCCAGGTTTGCTCAGTGGTTACAGCTGCGGGTTCAATTTCTGGTTAAGGGCATGCACCTGGGACTTGATCCCTCTCAGGACTGCTTTTGCTGTGGGATTAAGGACTTGATCCCTGACCCAGGTTGGGGACGCATGTGGGAGGCAGCCAATCAACGTGTCTCTCTCACATCGATGTTTCTCTCTCTCTCTCTCTCTCTCTCTCTCTCTCTTCCTCCCTCCCTTCTACTCTCTCTAAATAAATCAATAGGAAAAATATCCTCAGGTGAGGGTTAGGGTTAAGTAAACAAATTTTAAAAAATACTGAACAAGAGGCAGGAGGACTGGGGAGCCATCATGGGGATGGCAGGATGGAGGAGCTGGGGGCCTTTGACTAAAGGCCCAAGGAAGTGAGTGAGGGGGCTTTGCAGGCATGCAGGAAGAGCATTCCAGGCAGAGGGAACAGCCAGTGCCGAGGCCTTTCCAGTCCTCATTCTTCCCCTCTAATCCCCTCCCCTAGTTTCTACTCAGGCCATTTAGAAGGGGAAGGGATAGGATAGGCAACTGGAGAAAGTGGTCCCTCCAGGTATCAGCCCCCTGGTGGGCCTGGTTACCTTCCATTCCACAGATGGGACATCCACGGGGCTCAGAGAAGCTGTGTGACACACCTGAGGCCACACAGCACAAATGGGGGCCCAGGTCTATCTGAACTGGGGGCCTCTGACTTCAGGGAGTAGATTCACCCCTATTGAGGGCAGGAATTTTTTTTCCAATTACAGTTGACATTCAATATTATATTAGTTTCAGGTGTACATCATAGTGGTTAGACATTTATATAACTTACAAAGTGATCCCCCAATAAGTCTAGTACCCACCTGGCACCATAAATAGTTATTACAATATTATTGACTATATTTCCTATGCTATATATTATATTCCTATGAGTATTTTTAACTACTAATTTGTACTCTTTAATCTCTTCACCTTTTTCACCCAGTCCCCAGTCCCCCACCCATCTGGCAACCATCAAACTGTTTTCTGTATCTGTGAGTTTGTTTCTGTTTCGTTTGTTCATTTATTTTACTCTTTAGAT